AATAAAAAATTGGATCAGACAGCCAACTCTTGGTTATCCAAACTCTGCCTGGCTTAAGTCTGTCCTCTTACATTTTCCTAATTTGGTAATTTTCTCTGGAGCTCTTCTCATTGGAATCTTAACCAGAGTCAGGGTGAGGGATGGGAGGGATGGGAAAGGATGCTGAAACTCTTGCCCTTCTCATGGAAGCTTGGGTGATAAGTTCACTCACATTGATGTCAAAGAATGTTCATGTCATCTGGTTGTTGGTTTATTCTTTCTTTCATTGAGTATTATTCCAGATACTCTGCTAGCACTGGGGATACTATGGTCCTTGCCCTCAAGGAGACTGGGGTATGGATGGGGTGCAATAACAAATCAGCTTACTAAGTTTTATTATAGGTAGAGTGTATATGGGAACACAAGGTGTTGATGAATGACTTAGTTGGCCTCCTTCAGTGTTAGTGATGGAAACTGAGGCACGTGGGGGTCGAAAAGTGCTGTGTGGTCCTGGACTACTCAGGTAGAGACAGGGTCCTAATGCCTAGTCCAGCCCTTTTCTGATTGCCTCATAGCCTGTTGAGACATTGGCTAAAAGAAGCTGTATGGATTTTTTGTGACCCTCATGTTCAGTGGTGTTTCATTAATCATGAGGGTTAGTTAAAGCTAACCCTTTTATTTAAGAGCTCTTAAATCACCTATAAGTGGGTGAGATGCTTACATTATGAGAGACCTACAGGAATTAAGATCAAGGAAGCAGCAGATTCCTGTGCCCTATGTCACACCCCTTGTGAGTGCGTCCCTTGAATGGAGTTGATGGCAGAAGCACCTGCATTGGACTGTCTCGCCCCCTTCTTCCCCCAGACTTTTATATTAAAATGTGTATTGGACAAATAGATATATGATGTCATTTCACTGTAATCATGTCACCTCTCCTCAAGTGTTAGTGGGTAACTGTGAAAGAATGATCCATTTAGGGAGTATAGCTGTTGGGGCAGTTAACAGGAATGTTTGGGTCACCGGTAACATTTCTTTCTGGAATTTATTATAGTGTAGCCAAGGAGGATTTTAGGGAAAAAAATGAGCCGTTGGAAAAGTGGTAATGATGGAAATGGAGGCACCCAGGGACCAGTGGTACACAGTATATCTCGATAAATCTCTGTGGCAGTCCTGTGAGGGGAGAGTCCTTCTACCCCTTAATGACTTCCCTGTGTTGGGATTGAATTGAATTTATCTCCCTTTTTAAGTTAAAACCTGAGCTTCTGCGAGATTAACTCATTTAGCCTGGGTGTTGAGGCTCGCCAGTGAACCGGGTTTGGAAGTCAAGTCAGGTTGAGTCTTAATACCGCATACTCCGTCCTCCGCCCCCAATACTGTGTTCTTCATTCACTGCATCAAGTGAAAGTTGACTCCCTTGCTCAAAGGATGTATGAGGAGGTGAGGATGTTAGCTCTGCAGGCACAGATATTCTAAGCTCACCTTGTTTGATTAGATCTTATTTACCAATAAGATAACCTGCTTGTTACCACAAGCAGGTTCTTGTTGCTATACATTCAGAAGCCCGGTAGATTGGGTGGTAGTTTACCCATTAGATGCATTTTTAGGATATTCCTAACGTGTGGCTGATACTCTCAGAGTCACTGGATACATGTTTCCAGGATGAGGTGGATTTTGAGCCGGGCTGGAAGGGACCTGAGGAATAGAATGCCAGAATGGTTATTTTGGTATCCAGTACGGGGAGCCTTTCTCAGCCAGCCCCAGTCTTGTGATCGGAAACTCTCTGCCCATACAGGGCCTCATCTTACAATTGGGTTGTAAAACCAAGGGCTGTATAACTTTGTGGATTATGTATGTGGTAGCTTCTGGGGCTATGTCCTGGCCCTTGTCCAGAGTAGGTAATTCCATCCTGCTGAGCTCCAGTTGACCAAATTGCAAGAGCCTGGACACAGAGTTCTTCCCTTTGCAGTAAATGAATAAAAACATGAGAGCATTTAGAACAGTGCCTGTATTTACTAAAATGGATGGATCAGGGACGCCTGGGTGGCTCAGTTGGTTAAGCGTCTGCCTTCGGATCAGATCATGATTCCAGAGTCTTGGAATCAAGCCCCTCATCGTGTTCCCTGCTCAGCAGAGTCTGCTTTTCCCTCTGCCCCTCACCCTGCTCGTGCTCTCTCTCTGTCTCTCTCTCTCACATACACACACTCTCTCTCTCTTTCTCAAATAAATAAAAATCTTTAAAAAAAAATGGATGGATCAGTTAATGCTAGCTAATATTGCATTCCCTAACCAAGGACTAGTGATTCTTAGCTTTAGAGGTAACTTGAAGGGGTTGTCTGCAAGACTATACTACCTGTCTTTAAGGCACTTCACCCCTCGTGGAAGTTTAGCTAGCTGGAAATTTTTCCATATGTTGTGTCAGAATCTTCTTTGGAGCTTCTACAGAATGGGTCTACACGCTCCCCATGTGACAACTCTTAGAGGTTGTTCAATGTCTAGGGACACTAAGCTTGGCAATTAATGATTCAGAAAGATCTTACCAGCTTGGAGTCATGGCTTAAGGGTAAAAATAATGGAATTTAATAGGAATAAATATAAACTCATGTTTTTAGCTCCTAAGCCAGTTGCATAAGAGAGGAATTTCGGGAACAACGCTTGGGAGCTTGGAGGTTTTATGGATCATAGGTCCCCCTCTCAGTGTCATTTATGGAGGGTGTGGACAAACTGGGATGCATTTATGAGGGCTGGGCAGAGGGACGATGTGAATTAAGTCTAGTCTGGATCACAATCAGGAGCCTGGGGGCTGTTCCTGTCATGCCTAAATGGGTGTTGGGGGCGGGGGAGTGGATTTGCTCCCACAAGGGATGGATAGACCTCCAAGGGGTGGATAGATGGAAGTTAACCAGGACATGGGTTTTAGCCTCCTAGATAGAAGGATTTCAGCATGCCAGTACAAAGGAAGTGGTATTGGGGAGGTAGTGGGTTCCTTGCCGTTGGTGATGCTCACGTGTAGACTGTATGACCAGCTGAAGGAAGAGGAAGAAGGCCTGTCAAGCATAGGCTCAGGGGTGCTGGTGTGCTTTGGTCTGGAGACTGAGGCTCTTACTTACACGGTGGTGTTCTTCTTAGGCAAATAGAGATCCCCTCACCCCTCAGCTGGCCCTCACTGTCCTGGATTCTGTCCCTCTACTGTTGTGGTTGCATGCTGGGCACATCCACTGCTCATGCTAAAATGTGGCTCCCTGCAGTGAGTTCATACTGCTGTGAGTGGCTCAGAGCTCAGGGGCAGGCCTGGGCTTTTGTGTGTGCCATTTGTTTTGTTTTGTTCTGTTTTTGGGTCAGGTAGAGAGGGAGAAGGTGGATTAGCCAGTACCTCAAAGCGTTTGCTCATCTTCTCATACTTTTTCCAATAAACTGCTTTGGAGGTGGAACAGACTTTAGGGCAGAATGGTACAGTTCAGCTTGAATTTTTGTGAGCCTCCTAAATCCCCACCAAAAAAAAAAAGTAATAATTCGAGAATTCAAAAGACCCACACTGGAGGCATCGTGGAGTTCATCTGCAGGTCAATCACGAAACCTTTTCTTGTGGCATAATTGATACCTCTCAACATTGGGTAGTTTGTAGAGTCCTGTGTTAATGTACATGTGTTGGTAAGAAGTAGTAAATATTTTGCTGACAAGTTCTTTGAATGATGGATCCATGGCAGCATTTAAAAGCAGACAACCTGAGGGTTTCTTTTATCCAGGTGCTGCTAGATCCCAAAAGCTGTCAGGGTACAAAGCCAAAAGCACCCACTAGTTACACCATTAATTGTGTAATGTTCATAGGCCCCTGAGTTTCTGCACCTGGGATCTGTTGATAAACGCAGCTGGGGGAGGGCAGGTGGAAGGGTGGCAGTTGGGAGAGAGAATGAGAGAAGACAGGTTGCTTGCTCTCAGGTGACTGCTTCCCCACTCAAGCCTGGGGCCTCCCCTCTTCGATCCATCCCCAGGAGCATTCCTTCTCCCTTTTTGGGGAAGCCTTTGAATTAATGATCTGATGCTTTTTCAACAAAGGAATATTGATATGTTAGTGTGCAGACAGCAGGGGGTACTGGATTAGACCATTTTCACATTGGTGTTTGTGCCAGTTTGACATTTGTTTGGAAAGCTTATCCCATTATGACCATAGGTTACATGCATAATTTAAGGGGAATAAATCTTTGAGAAAAATTTCTTTTGGTTCTGTAATCTTCAGTGCTACAGAAAAATAAATGAAAGACTCCCTATGGTTTTCATGTGATCAGAAATTCCAAGTAGGCTCCCGGATGAAGTGCCCCATGTAGGTGTAAAACATTTCTGCAAATGCGCTGGCCCCTTGTAGTCGGTGCGGGGAAGGCAGGAGTGGGGACAACTTGGTCCCTGCTTCAAGGTTACAGTCTAGAAGCAGAGAGTGGCAAAATGACCTGAGTGTGTAGGGCAGAAGCCCCGCTGAAAAATGCTGTCCAGGAGCAGATACAGGGCCCCTGGTATTGCTGTTTTAGTGGAATGAGTATTTGTGATAACAAAATTATCTCCTCCTTCCTCCAACCTGCCACCATCTTGCGTTTCTGTGATCTCAGTGACAAATACTGGGATGGTTTGACATTTTCGAGTTATTGTGCCAATTGCCACAGCAATTGTTTTACTTTATTTTCTTTGAAACAGCTTGTTTTGCTGTGGACATTTGATTATCCATGAGCGAAGTGCTCCTGGTAGGTTGTAGGCATCTGGTCAGTGTTTTTGCCGGATTCACGGTGAACTTGCAACTCTAAGGGAGCCCCGTTCTCACATCTGTGAAGATTATCCCGTTTCTGCCTACCTGTATGCATGTTTAACGCAATAGGTAAAGAACAAAAGCCACTTGGATCCCCAAATTCTGTATTCTCCACTAGGAGTTCTTCTCCAAGCAAAGCTGGTGCCTGAAGAATAGGTAATAGAACGAGGAAGAGCAGTATTGTTGGTCATTACCTTGTCCTTATACTATCTTTTCATTTCTCTCTTAGGTTTATTTTCTTGAAAAGGCTCCAGGCTTCGGCTTGGAAAATCCAACCGCCAAAATTGAGCCCAGCAGCTGGAGCGGCAGTGAGAGCCCTGCCGAAAACATGGAAAGAATGAGCGACTCTGCGGATAAGCCAATTGACAATGATGCAGAAGGGGTCTGGAGCCCCGACATTGAGCAGAGCTTTCAGGAAGCCTTGGCTATCTACCCACCATGCGGGAGGAGGAAAATCATCTTATCAGACGAAGGCAAGATGTATGGTAAGTGGTCTGGAATGCTCCTTTGAGATGCTATGATGTGCTTTTATGATAAGGGGTGATTGCAGTTAGCCCTCTACTGAGATCCATTCATTGTATTGGGTGGAATGATCTCTGTAGAGTTTTAGTTGGCCATCCAAGGGACTAAATCTTAACCAACCAGAAGAGTCCATAAAGGACCATTGGGAAATCATTCTCTGGGGTTTTCTTGTTCTTCTACACACTCAACAGCGTTAGAGAAAAGCTCTCAGGGTCCAGGTAGGGATTTAGTTGTAGTGGCATATGCGGACCCCCACGGGTGGGATGTGGTTCTTCAGAGCACGTGCCCAGTCTCATGGAAGCCTGCCGCTCAGTAGCTCCTGGTAATTGACTGGTACCACATGGAAATGGGGCCTCATGTTGACAAATCTCTTGATTCTCCCCTCCCCACCCCCTACCCCAGGAAGAGCTAGCAATATAGATGCTTATCACTCATTTTTAAAAGCCAGCACTTTGTTTTTTAAACACAGCCCTGTATCAGCCAGATGAGATAGGTGTGTAGCTTGATCAGACCTTCAAACCACCATTTTACTGCTTTGTTGCACATTGGCGGTTGAGTGGCCAGCCAAGGGGTTAACCCCCAGGCTCTCACCAGTCTCCCCTTCTACAAGGCGATGCCTAGCAGTATGTTTTAAAGGAAACTTCAGGAGTGCCCAAGAAGACAAGACTGGTCAACTGAATGGCTTGGGATGCCAAAGGCAGCAGCATGTAGCCGTCGCCAGTCTGGGGCTTGTGTACTAGGTTCGAATATTCCTTGTTCCTTCCATAAATGCTTCCAGCTGTAGACCTGTACTTTTTTGGCTGCTTACCTTTTGGGAAGCAGATGGCAGGTGGTGGCTTGTACATTCTGCTTGTCTAATTGGGCACGTTGAGTTGACAGAGTTTGCACTGTAGCTGAGTCTAAAGAGATGCAAACAAATAACCGAAACTCAAAGAGAACTGGCTCAGCAACCTTCCTGGGGTTGTTAACTTATCATGGAAGTGATTTATTTCCAAATAATTTGAAAGCTTTTCCATAATAGGGTGTTGTACCTTTAATACCGTGCCTCCTCTATCAGGGGCCGCAGGAGACTGCCGCTCAAACTGGCGCACGCAGCTAAGGAGAAAGCAGATGGTGGTGCAGCTGCTACCAGCTGTGGTCCCCGCCCTCCCCTTCCCCAGCCTGGATGATGTAATGGAAACAAGGGAAATGTTGCTTTCTGCAGCATCAGAGTCTCTCGCCTGTCAGTGCCACACACACACGGGGGAGAGAGAGCCCAAGCCTTCATTTGTTTTATGCTCCCATGTGATCCTTCGTAGCCAGAGAAGCTTCTTCGTGTCCATTCGTGAAATGGACTCAGGGTGAACCATGTCAGCTGCTGTGGGCAGAAAGTTTCAGAGCCTCTGATCGTGTGTGTGTGTGTGTGTGTGTGTGTGTGTGTGTGTGTGTGTGTGTGTATGTGTGTCTGTCTGTCTGTCTGTCTGTCTGTCTTTGCTGAGCTACCCTTCCCCAGCCTGGTTATTGGCCTGCAAGGTCTTACTTTTGTATCTAAAGATGCAACCCCCCCCTGCCCGCCGCCCCATTTTAAAGGCAGAACAAAGTACTTTAATCTTTGAGCCTTCTTCGAAGCTGATTTCACTTCTACCTGTGAAGGTGGCTTCAGGCTGCTCTATCTTGTATAACTCCCATTTGTTTGCCCAGAAATTGTAATCTAAAATATCGGCCTGGTGTCGGACATTCTGGTCGGGGGTGACTCCCACCCTTCATTTCTCATCCTGGCATTTCCACTTTAGGAGTGAGGTTACGTGCTGAGAGCGTGATTCAAAGCAAAAGTTAATTTTGTCAACTCCAGTGTTGTTGTCTTCTCTGTTGATTTTACTTTTTAGGTAGCAGCCATGGTAGGCTTTGCCCGTCTGCCTGTAACACCATCATAGAAATAATTTTTGTGGAAATAAGTGTGTAAGAGCTCTTGGTCACTGGGTGTCAGAGGCACGGGGCTAAATATGGAAGAATCACTGAGAAGCTCGGGATTTGAGTCCTTTACCCCCAGTGGACAGTCTTATCCCTCGGCCTGTGTCTCCGTTTTCTCCCCTGAAGAAAAAGAGAGTCAAGTAGTTGATGTCTTTGGGTCCTCGGGACCTGTGCATTTTGTGATGCTGTGATTTTGTGACTTGTACCCCAGCAAGAGGGAGGAGTATGTTGACAGACACAGTGCTGGTTGTGGGAGCATATCTTTAATACCCACGACAATCAGATTCCCAGTGCTTCCTGAGAGCTCTTGTTCTTAATATACGAATTCTTTTTTCTCTTAAATCAGCATTCCATTGACTTACTGTGTTAATGATCAACCTGATTGAAAATGGGGAGGTCTTTTGAGCAAGCAGCATTAGGAATTACAGCTGCATGGCCATGTGTCCAGACTGGGGGGGGGGGTTGGTGTGCAGGAAATGCATTTGCTGCAGGGCCCTCGAAGTTGTGCCATCTCCAAGCAGCTGCCTTGGGGAGAGAACACTGTCCGCAACCCTATCTCATTGGCCACCATGGAGGAGTTGTGCTGCTTCTGCTAATTTGAAAGGGAAACATGGTGGTTAGCAGGGATTTGGGAGCTGAAGACTAGGCCCTTAGGAGAACTGCCCCAGATGCCCACGAGCTGCCAATGACCTGCCTGTGACTTTGGGGGGGCGGGAATTTGCCTTGGGAGCCTCCATGGGGAAGCCCCCACCACCTGGGAACTGAGTCAGTGAGCAGTGTGGGGTGAGAGCCTACTGTTCCCTCGCTTCTGGCCTGCTCCCCATCTTACCTTCCACGAACCAGCACCCAAACCAGACCAGGAGTTGAAGTTTCCTAAGGTCCTGTGAGCGTACTTTTTCTTTTCAGCATTTTGAAAGTGAAAACCTGGAAAGCATTTTAGATTCCATAGAGTAAAATCAAAATAATTTAATGCCTTTTAGTGAAATACCAAGTGTTTTTGACGTGACGGGGCAGTTTTCCGATATTTCTGAGCATTTGTAGAGTGCATTGTGATGTCACGAATCCTGAGCCAGTTGAGAAGCAAGGTCAAGTGCAACACTGATTTATTTTGGTAATGACATTTCCTCCGTGGTTGGCAGTAGGGCAAATGCAGTCTTACAGTGGGGAAAAATGGAAAGCTCTCTTTATGAGGAGGTTTGGGCCATTAGAAGAGATGGCTTAATTCTGTCTTTGCTACTCGGGTGCATGGGGACACCGAGACTTGATGTGGTTGGCCTCCGTGTGGACAGACTGCTTCTGCCCCGGGACCTTCTGTGTGGGCAGCTGTCCTTAGGGATAGTTAGGAGAGTGGGACCTCTCAGTGCCTGAGGGCGCACACGCTCACGCTCTTTCTTTCACTCTCTGCTTTCCTTTCCTTTTTCCTACTTTTACATAGCTGTGTGTCTATTCTTCTGGTAGATAGTTGGAGAGGAGATAGCAAGAGGACAGGAGAGGAGAGAAGTTTTTGATCAGCAAACTTGCCTGAGATTGAATTTCACAGGAACAGGCCATTAGTTTAAAACAAAGCCGTGAACCACGGGGATACCTGGATGCCTTTTTGTTTTGCCGCTGAAAACTCTGGCCTACCATTGTGGTCTAGTATCTCCCATAATCACAGCGGGGTAGGGATAGGAGCAAACATTCCTTGACCGATGGCTTTAAAGGCAGATAAATGTAGCCCTTAAAATTTTGGACTTTGGAATCACAAGGAGTCTTGGCCCTGCCACTTCTAGATACCAGACTTTGGGCAAGTTGCTTTTCCTCTTTGTGCCTTTATTTTCCACAACCACAAAAGGGATTTAAGTAGATCCTACTTTGTGGGATGGTTGTAAGAGTTAAACAAATGAATTGTGTTCTGGGATTCCCCCTACCACGTTGGCACGGTGTCGGGCTTCAGGTGAAAGCTGAACTGAAAACGGAAAGTGCTCTTGCCCTGACCTGGGCTACAGGCTTTACATATGATTTCCATCTACTGCTCACAACAACACTGTGAGATGGGTATTCTAATCCCCGCCATGTAGATGAGGATGCACATGAGGAGTAGAGCTGGAAGGGTTCAAATCCAGGTCGGTCTGACCCCCAAAGCTGGGCTCTTTCCACATGTCTTCCTTCCTTCCTTGGTGGAGGTCATTTTTGTTAATGACGAATCAATATTGAGCACCACCTGTATTCCAGCCTGGGGCTCGGGGCTGTTGGGGATACCCCAGTGAGCCAGACAGACATGGTCCCTGCCCTCATGGAGCCGTCACAAGCGCCTTTGCAGGAAACTCTGACCTCGGGTCAGGGCCATGTGCCAGAGCTTTCTGGGAAGTCTGAGGGCCCTTTGAAGACGGTCACCTTCCACTTAGCCTTTTGAAGCCTGTTCTTGGCTACCAGCGTCCAGGGCACCTGGCCCAATGCTGGCAGGAAGAAAGCTTCTCAAATAACGCGGCAGGGAGGATCCTAGATCACAAGGCTGGCCCTGCTGGTGGCTAGGAAGCTGTCTGGAAGATTCTGGTACCCTGAGATCCTACAGGCGGCCTGACCAGAGCAATTGCTGGGCAATGGTTTTCTCCTTTTATGAGCAAATGTCTTCAAGGTCCTTGTCTGGGGACAGCTCCAGGGATGGCCCCTTTCTTTCTGTGATGCCAGGCCTACTGGTTAGCCCTGGAGAGAAGAACTGTGAGGACTGGATAAATTTGGGGGGGGGTGGGTTGAGAAGGAAGACGTCTCTGGGCCAGTCCTCTCCAGTTGCCGACCTGAGCCCTGTCAGCTGGGGGAGCACTGGACTTGGAATGGCCCCTCTGCCTACTTCTTAGAAGCACTGACAGAAGAGGGAAGCGGACCACTGTGGTGAGGTGGTGGTGGGGGACGTCAGCATGGGTGCACATAAGCAGGCACAAGTGAGCATTGCTTAGGCAGGCAGAGACTGAGATCTGTGGTCCCCAGTCTCCTCCTGGCTTAGAGAACTGCTTGGGAAAATGAGGAGCATCCC